CCTGTGGTCCCAGCTACTTGGGAGGCTGAGGCAGGAGACTCGCTTTGAGCCCAGGAGTTGGAGGTTGCTGTGAGCTGTGATGCCATGACACTCTACCCAGGGGGATAGCTTGAGGCTCTGTCTAAAAAAAAAAAAAAAATTTATCTCATTTGATCCTTAAGCCCGCCTCATGAGTAAAAAGGATTTTTTTTCTTTTTTACATGAAGAATCTTCAGCTGAAAGCAGATACAAGAAATAACCCTTTTATTGTTTATAAATGGTCCAAGTCACATGTCCCTGCCACTGCTGTGGCAATACTTCACATTTTGCATTCCAGGGCTGTTGTGGATCCGTTTATCCAACCAAGAATGCTCTGTGCCCTTGCCTGAGCCATACATACCAGCCCACCATGTACCTCTGCATTTCCACGGGCCCTGTGACTGGCCAGCAGCTGGTATTTCAGCTGGCTTGGGGGAGGGGGGAACGGCATGGGAATCATTCTAGAGATTTCTTTTAGGATTTAGAAAACACTTGTTTGGAGGTGCTTCTTGACTAAAAGTGCAGGTTATTTGTGGTTTGGGTGTAATTGGTTTCGCCTGGGGTGGGGCTCATGTTGATGGAATAGCCTTGGCAGGCATAGTGGTGCTAAGGCCAGGCGCTGGGGCACCACCTCCCCAGGGATGGGTCTGAGCCCCTTATTGGTCTCACAAGGTGCTTACACACACAGTCTCTCCCCCACCCCACCCGCCCTGGTCTGCAGGGCTCAGAGTGGCTTTCCTTTCTGCTATGGCCTTATTTTTAAATAATTAGGCTGCTGATAGGCAGAGTATACATTATCACTTCTTGGGTTTGGATTTGAAGCCTGCTATCCCTGCAATTGCCCAGCGCCTGGGTGTTTGGCTCAGAGCCAGGCACCACCCATCCTGGGGGTGACTGCAGACTTAGGGCAGGGTCCCAAGTGCCTGCCTTACAAATCAAACCGGCATTTCCGCCTCTCCCTGGGAGGACCAGGCCTGCCACTAGAGGGCGCGCCGCCCCCTCAGCAGCCTGAGCTGGCCTGGGCCCCAGGCTCCGAGCTTCCTACAGACCTGAGGACTCTCAAAGGGTTTGGGATTCCTGCCTCGGAAACTGCGTGGGAACAAAGAAGCAAAGCTCCTATAGAACCAGCGTTCCCGCTGTTCAAGCAGCTGCCTGGCTTGAACCTGGAGAAGGCAGAAGAGTCCCAGCAGCTGGAATGGGCCACAGGGCTCAGGCAGTGCTCAGGAGAGGGCATGGGGGGATTGGGGGGGCGGGGGGG